CAGAGACGGGGGGCGACACAAGTTATCTGGCACGTATGACCCGCTACTACGGTCACGTGTCTCTGATGTCACGTTCCAAGAGTAGACGGGTCCATTCCGTGAACAAGGTTGATGGAGTCAACCGAAAATTTGGGGTAAGTCCCATTTCTGTAGCCTAAGTGTTGGAAATTAAAGCTTAGTCTTTATTTCATAATGACTTGTACCAACACAGATGAACTTTCATGCTAAGTCTTTCTTTTGAGATAAAGTTATAATTATCTGCCTCACCTGGTGCTGCGGTTGAGCCATAGCTAGTCAGGTTGGGTAAGTTACCGACGGTGTCGTGTGCGGCTAATGCTATAACTCTTCCCTGTCATGGAAAATACATTATTGATCGTGTAAGCAATTGTATGTGATGGTCCATGGTTAGGAGAAAAGGGACAAAGACGTAGAATACAATCTGTCTTTGATGTCCTTACTTGAACCTGGATGTGTAGGTGCTAATACGTTGATGAAGGTTAGATATTCAGGTAAACAATTAGTAGAGAACATTTATTGCAAATACATGCCCGAGGGTTAATTTCAAATACAAACAACATGTATGAAAAAGAAGATACGAGATATGAGAGACTACATGTATGTGCAAAGTCACACGACATTTTACAACATACGTGACATTAGTTTCGTTGGGTTTGACTTCTTCTTTTGAGGCAGATCGAGGGAGACGAATTTACCCACTTCGTCTATATGTGAGTTCTTTGATCTACAATATTTAAAGACAAATCAAGCTCTACTAACTACCCTAAATACATAGGGTCAGAGGTGTAGATGTGTGTGAGCTTTTTAAGCTTTTATCCAGGACTGACTAGCCTGGTATCCAGTCTAGTCGTGGTTGGGGCATAGGAGTTTAGGCAGGCTGTCTTCGGGGCTCTAAAAGTTTCCCCCCGTCCAGTACGACAGGCCGCCCGGTGGAAGTGTCATGATAATAGAGATAGCACGCCGGGGTGTAGCTGAGGCGGGCGGGAAAGAGCTCCTGCAGTCCCGAGGAAAACCTGCCCAAACCACGATAAGACTGGATACCAGGCTAAGAACTGACTATCCAGGAAAGAAATGGATCGAGCTACTAACTTCGTTAACCCCGCCCAGAAAGCTGGTGACAGACTGCCGTTCGCTGTCCAGAGTTGTGTCGAACCGTCTCGTGTCTAGCACGTCGCCGGTGTGTTCGTTAATGACGAAAACATGAAGTCCCGATCGTGCAGCACCTAAGGAAGCAGCACACGAAAAGTCGGTATTACATGCAAGCAGACTTCACCTACTGTAGTATAACTTTCAAAAGCCCAACTGTCATCATAATCTACAGCTCATTATCAAAACGCACGTTATTTTATAAAGCTTAGGAAAAAATGTTGTATTTCTGGTTTCCCGACCGACCCTAGTAAAACCCCATCGACACTAACCTTTTCTTGATCGACCGATGATATTAAATATTTTTTATGTGATATCTGAATTTCAAATCCTCTGAATTTCTGAAGCATGATTTAACGCGTTTTTACAAGTAATTTTTCTTCAGTAAATCGGGTTAAACCTTTTTCCACAAGCAAAAAAAAAAAAAAAACAGGTGGACGGGTCTCTGAGACAGCCTCTATGCTTTGTGAAACTTTATTTGTTGGATCATTTAGCCGAAATCGGAAGAAAAAAAGGAAATCCATACCCATTGACTCTGCGTTTTTCGGGACTGAAACCGGTAACACAACATTGATCTTCCCATGCCTAACCAAAGTCACCTGCAAAGTTACTGGTACTCTGTCCTACAGTGATGAAGGTAGATGTAGAAGTGTCAAAGCCGGGATCCCCAGATCCAGTAGACTCAACGGCGACTGTAAACTCTGGAGAAACATACCCGGTGATACATGTATATGCTAATGCTGTGCTGCATGTATGGCTGAAGGTTGTGATTCTTCGAAATGCTCCTTGTTTATAAATCAGTTCTGTATCAAAAGTTCGCGGAAAGTACATAGGAGCTTTCACCATAAAGGAATTGTACATACAACAATATTAGCACAATGTCATGTAACTAGAAAGATAATATTTTCAAAGCAAATGCATGATGTTTACCTTCGAATATGGTCTACTCTGTTAATTCTTACTCAAACACATTCATATATATGGTCAGACAGGTGTCTAAATCCCTCCTGCTACGAAATTGCAACAAAATGTAACCCAACACTTGTTACCATGGTGACGGACGCCTGGCTCAGGTCATTGATCTTATTGGTTTGGAGAAGAAGAGGAAGAAGAGGAAACAGAGCAAAAACAATATGTAATCCTTCGGTAAACATAATTGCCCTACAGAGCGACGCCTACCTCGCACTGCACAGTAGCCCCGCCCCCTGGTCTGTCCCAGGTAGAAGACTCCTCCCTCGTGGTAGCCGTTATACCAGACATCCATACAGTCTCGGGCACCTGGAAACCGTAAACAGCGAAGTATGTGGGCAGTAACTATCGTGTATTACTGACTGCGTAGTGCCTGGGCTCGTTCAACAAACAAGCAGATATATGCGGAAGGTTTAGAACATTTTTCGGGCAAGAGCCTATAGAAATAGTAGTAGTCATGCCTTCAAGTACCAGACGTATCAAACAAGGATTGAGGTGTTCAAAAACTCGTTTCTCCCTAGACCTATCATAGAGTGGAACTCGCTGTCACCAAGTACAGCATCATCACTAGATAGCTTTAAATAATGTTTAGACTTAGATGTTCAAGGGTTAGGTGTAACAAGTCGTTCGGTGTAATGTAGCCAGCTGCCGCCAGCTGGTGTGTTACGCCCAGGGGAGGTTATATCTGCTATACCGATACAGAAAAGAAACGTTACTGCGCCTCAAACACATGCAACAGACAGGGTACAACCTTCCAGACTTACAAAAAGAGAAAGATTCAGAATTACCTTCCAACTCGACAATGAACACCGCGAGAACCAGTATTCTGAGTAATGAAAACTTCCCCTTATATCTCATCTTCGGTGTGTGAGATCAGCGCATACTGAACACAATACGTGGTAAGTCAGTCTGTGGTCCTTTATATGTAAACATAACGTTATATATATAGCAAAATTTCATGCAAAAATGAAATTATGGTGTCACACACCGTTATTTACTGGTTGAATGGGTGAAATTGCACGGATTATATTGTTTGACAATAGTCAGAGCAATTTTGACTTTTACTATCGTAGAAACTTATTAATTATTAAAGAAGGAAGACATAAATCCCCCTTTCTTCTTCACGTACGCATTGATCGTTACAGCGAATTCAAATATTTCCTGGCATGAATTGTAGTGAACTGTAGTGAACAGCCAATTATGAAATCGGGCGTTTCGGTCATGGGAGGAGACGCTATAGCAGTCGAATTAAACTTAGTCGAACCAAGAACTTTGAGGCAAACTTTTTCCTGCGTATTTGAGTAAGTATATTAAATATGTATTGAGTGATGATTGGTTTTGTAGTCATGACAAGATAGTGTGATTGTGTCCGTCATTCTGATAACTGGGAGGACAAGTGATTTGATGATTTAAAGGCATCTAGTGCAATTTCAAGGCGGCAAAACAAAACAAAAATATTCAAGATGAGGAAATCTGTCTGATATTGACATTTACTGCCATTTCTTAGCACATTTTCGTCATCATTTCAAACTTGAAACGTTTGAAATAGCCCCAAACCAAGCTACGTGAGGAATCCCTTTATATTTTGGGTACCACCCCAAATAGGAGCCTAGAACTAGTCTACAATACAATACAAAACAAGCCGTAGATTTAGACTACTACTCTTAACCAGGGCAAAAGCGTGCAGACATGGCTATTGGACTATAAGCATAATTGTTTCAACTCACAGTATTTATCTTAACAATTGCCACACCACTAGCTCTTTCCTACCGTTATAACAGTGGTTGAGAAAAACTACGGTAATCCAGGTAGTTTTAGTGCAGGGGATACGTTAATTTTTAATGAATGTTAGGAACGATCCCGTACTTAAGTCTTTGTCCCTTTTGAAGTTCAACTGTCCGTGCATGCATGTGCGCTTCGTGCTTCAGTATAACCATCGGAAAATTATCGGTGTGGCAGTGGTTGAAATGCCTGATTGCTCTGTAATTTTTCATAATATTTTGTTTCATTGCTATGACGACAAGCTTTTAAAAAAAGTTGAGGGGACCGAAACAGGATCACAAAGAGATTTAGACGAATGCCATGTCAGTAGGACTTCTTGGAAAAGTTTTCAATGGCTTTAAGTAGCTAGTTTCACATTTTACAACTCGGTATTACATTTTGTTAGCCAGTGTCCTCACTATGAGACCGAAAGAAACAGATTATTTCAGACAGTTACAACAATTTCTCCATCCTTTCGTCATTTAGAAGATCACCAAAAAATTGCATTTCTACTAAGATCACAAAACCCACTAATCATGCAGAATGTGGGACTATTCATTATCCACTGCCTTCAAAGAAGAAGTCGAACCCATAATAGCTAGCGTAGTAGTAGAAGTAGAAGTTTTTTCCAGACAGTTGTTACCTGTCTCCTGTTGTATTGCAATGTTTTTTATTCTTGATTGTAAAAGCAATTAGCCTTCGGGCATGATTTTGCGAATAAAAGTTTCTATATAGCCTAATATACCCTATTAGAGCCCAATCTGCAGTACCGCTCCCGGCCGCATCCAGGAATGCCACAACAGGAGACCGTCAAATTGCCAAATTTCGCTCTTTTCGGGAATGGAAAAAGAGGCTCGTAAAGGGGTTTAAAATTTGACTCTAATTTGACCTTGAACTCGATCGAAAGTTTGACCATAGGTGTGGTGGGTTCTTTAACATCACAGGAAACAAACTGGACTTCCCGTTTGTATAGATGATATGTCTAAAGACAACTTAAGGCAATAAAAACAAACATCTTTCTTCACCGTCTCAAAATGCTTTATTCCATACTTTGACAAAGTACAATCTTGAATCTTGATACAATAATTAAAAGTATTAGAACCCTCTGCATGACATTCCACGCCTTTTCTGAGAAAACTTCACCTGAAAGTCTTTTTGTTTTTAACAAAATGTATACAGTTTCTATCTTCAGTTCTTCTTCAATTCAAGCATAAAGCAAAAAAACAGACTAACACAATCCATGGACTCACACAGGTAGATAGACCCGTACATGGTCACATATCAGTAGTAGTGGGCATTCTTGCATATTGAAAGATGATGGTAGCACTCGTGTGTAGCATCTAGTGAGCACGTCGGCAGAACCTACTGCACCTGCGCGAAATCCGTAATATATTGTGCATAGCACTTCTGCAGAATGTCCCATATAAGGTTGTATTCGCGCATATAAGGTTAACACTCCGTCTGTAGTTTCCAAATGTTATGTCGGAAAAAATATCGTCTGCAACAAGCAAAATTCTAATGCAACGTTGACCAAAAATCCGACGAAAACCGTGAAAAATCGGGATTCTGCGCAGGAGCAGTACGTTCTGCCGACGTGCTCATCTAGTGGGGTTTATCAATCCTATCTTCCCATGTAGTTCCTGCAACAGTTAGGACACTTCAACTTTGTTGATATTCCAAGGAAAGGAGGAACCAGTCAGTGCTCCTCATCTCCTATATATGCAGTAGTCTATTTGAGTTTGCTGAGAATGTTTTTCAAACGTATAGTACGAAAACACAGTCAAATCATAGATTATAGTTCAGAGTTTACTCCAATCCTGTCACCTCTGCGCTAACTTCCCACAACTTCTTAGCTAGACCATCGTCCCTTGCATCTTCAGACTCCTCCGCTATGCTGCAGTCTGCAAAGTACCTGATAGGGGGCGACACGGATTTCTTCAGAATTCGTAAATGGTTTCAACAGCAAAATGAACAAAAGTTAATACAGCAAGTAAATTTTACAATAGCTTTAGTACATGTGGAGAGTATAAAAATTCTGCAATGTCTATAGTTCTCTTAGGATTTATTTTTATTGAAAGCCAACTACTGTCATAATGACAGCACGTTTTGTTCCTACATTGTATCATATATGTGGAAAACTACATGTACAGTCCAAAAGGCATAGATGAGAAAACACTAACCTGCCAGTGACATTCTGTAGAGTTTCCTCCACAGCACAGTGGATGGTAGTCTGGGCTCCCTCACGTGCACTCTTCATCAGGACCCTGCACAGAAAACATAGCACGAATGTACATGAATGAAGACAGGAAACAGTGTCTAGAGGTTAAACTTTTGTTCTAACATAGAACTTTCCAACAGTTACTCTGGTCTTCTTTAATAGATCCAGCAAGACTTCTCTGGAGTGTGATGGGTGATCGGCCCTGATACAAATTGCCTCTTTTAGTAGTTTTACCCCTCTCAGGAAGTAGTCTTGTTTGGTGTTCAGATACCGAATACCTTTGACCCAGTGTTAATGTCACACAAAAATGGTGAGAACAATCCTTTGTGTTGGAGAAAAAGTTTTAACTTTAAATAGGTAACTACCAACAAGGAAGAAATTTTGATACAGGAAAGTAGTAGTGAGACTGACCAGCAGAATCCCTTCATGATGGTTCCCCAGACAAGCCCATGATCTGCCTTGATACTGTCCCACAGGTCCGTGTAGATCACCCCGGGGTGGAGTGAATTTACTGTTACACCTGGGGGAGAACAGGGGTAGAGAAATGTTGGTTGTTTGAAACAATCCTGAATGCTTACATTTTTGTACATTTCATACAAATACACTCTAGACAAATTCCATTAATACAAATCAATTGGAATTTGAGTTAAATTTGTGTCAAATTTGACCCCTGAACACCCCCCAAACACTGCTGACCTACTCCTGAACAACAGCCAACCATGCATATGGATGATCCTCTTGTCCACTGTGACCCAAATGTTTTAAACATTTTGAACCATTCCTTTGTTGCAACCAAACAATAGCCAACCTCAATGAACACCAGCCAACTACAGCCCACTTGCTCCAACCTATTCCTAACGCTTGAAAAGCGGCCACCGCCGACAGCGTAATTCAAGGTAAAAAAAAAACAACCAACCTAACTATGGTTGGGGTCAATGTTCAGGAGGTCATATGCGAGACAGGCTTAACTGACAAACTAACCTGTGCCCTCCAGTCTTCTAGACAACTCTCTTGCAAACAGGATGTTGGCCAGCTTGCTTGGCCAGTACGACTTCAGGTTGGGGTATCTGTCTCCGTGTTTATTGGTCGGTGTGAAGTCCAGCTTCCCATGTGTGTGCATCATGGAAGAGACCACTACGATACGGGAGGGGGCAGACTTCTTCAGCAGGTCCAGCAGGAGGTTGGTCAGGAGGAAGTGGCCGAAATGGTTCACTCCAAACTGGAGGTCAAACCCTTCTGCAGTCTTCTCGTCAGAGTGCCAGCACAGGCCTACAGGAAACAGATATAAACAACTCTCATTCACGTCAACAGTTTGCAACAGATAAACATTTTACACTAGAAAGATAAAATTTGCATGTTTACCTTTGCATATGGTCTGCTGAGGCTGTTTATTCTTACTCAAACACATATATATGGTCAGACAGGAGTCTAAATCCCTCCTGCTATAAAACTGCAACATGATGTAACCCAACACTGGTTACCATGGTGACAGACGTGTGGTGCAGGTCATTGACCTTATTTGTTTGGAGAAGAAGAAGATGAGGAAACAGAGCAAAAACAATACAAGTATATATCCCATATGTTGATTTAATATGCACGCACACAGAAGAGTCCTCCTTTAATATGACATCCATCTCAATCAGATGACTCTCCTGGTGGATTGTTATCTTATCCCAAAGGATTCTAGCTTTCTGTCTGTCTGTCTGTTTGTATGTCTGTCTGTGTTTGTGTGTTTCTTCAATTTCCAATATACATCATACAGTGTTACTGTACTTCCTCAGTGCAGCTAGTTTTGTCTGTGGGATTGGATGGGTGGCAAAATAGTGTCAGTAGGGGGTGAAGTCTGCCATCTCTGATTGTGAATTTTGCACTATGACTATATAGTATGAGTTAGCCTCCACCAGGCCTTTCTATAGGAATAAGGATCGTAGAATTTGACAAAAAAGAGAGTAAAATTGGCCAAGGGAGTCCGGCCGCGGGGAGGTAGTTTCTTTCCCTCTGAAGCGCGTCCAGTCAAACCTACAAGGCGACCAAACCCCCCTGGCAAATATTCTCCTATAATATATATAGCCAGTGTAGCTAGTCTGGTAGAGACTTACCGGCATTGTTGATCAGGATATCAAGTCTCCCTTCTTCTCGGTACATCTCCTCTGCGAACTGCCGTACGGAGGCCAAACTGGCCAGGTCCAGTTTGCGGAACACGACGTTCTGGTTGTTTGTCTGTCGGATGATGTCCTGCCTGGCCTCCTCCCCGCGCTCGCGGCTGCGGCAGGCCAGGATGATCCGCCCGCCTCTACGGGCGAGATCCAGCGCCGTCTCCCTGCCGATACCTGCATTGGCACCTACATATACATAATATAATGAAAGAGAAAAGTAATGAACAAGAACACTAACTTAGCAAGTGTAGTAGGTGTAACGGCCCGGCCCCTTTGCCTCACGTGTGCATGATTAAGTCATTGAATTGGTCTAATCTACATGTATGTTGTGAAAATTTGATCATAAATTTGTCAGAACAAATTGACCAACAGGAAAAGTTAATCAAGATCAGCTTGTGTGAACAACAAGCATTTTTGATCCAAGTGAGGACATGTATGTCGTGGTTGTATTATTTCGCTAAGCCCTGGTCTCCAGGTTCTGGATTTCACTAGGTTTTAACCCTTGTGACCTTAAAAAAACACTGTCTTCCCACACCGGGAATCGAACCCGGGCCTTGGCGGTGAGAGCGCCAAATCCTAACCACTAGACCATATGGGAGTCAGCTATCAGTCGAGTAACGCCCCTCCCCCTTCCATCGCCTCACTTCTGACCGCCCTACCTGTGATGACGACAGTCTTGCCGTCCAGTCGGGCGGTACTGTGGCACCACCGGCCCCTCAGTACCAGCAGGTAGTACACATAGTGCAGAGCGCACAGTCCTGCCGCTGCCACGGACGGAATTACAAACCATTTGCTCCAAAATTTGGCCAGCAGATCGTCTCCCATGTTATTGTGACCTTTGACCTCTATGGGGTCGCCGTCTTCAGTTTCCAATGCCCTGATTACCCTCATAGTGTGTGTGTGCCGTGATAGTCTTACGGTGTCCGAAAAGCGCCCCGTGACGGCCCAATATATTATTGCAGAATAAAGAGGTCATAATGCCAATAAAGCATAAACCTTTCATTTCCTTTCATAGAACTTACATGTACTTGTTCTTCCATTACCATAAATACTCATGTAAATACTCAAGTATAGAGAAAAAAAGACAAGCTCTTAGGATCTATTATGAAGCTTTTTTAATTGACTGAATGTGCCTTTTTTGCAATGTTTTGACTTTGTGCATACGCATTGGTCCAACATTTACAGATGTAAGTCTTGGGTTCTTCCTCACTGCCAACTATTCACAGTGGCGTAAATATACAAAAATAACCCAGTACTTTTGCATTAGGTTTCCTCAGTAAATACTAGCCACTAGTAACCAGTATAGTAGCAACATTCACGCAGTTAATACCTCCAAGGGGTATACAAAAACAACATTATGTTCGCAGCAATGTACAATTTGACACGTTCAACGTACTATAATAATTCCACAATATTCTATATAAGTCTTACGTGATGATGCTGGCATCCTAATATGATATTACTGCAGCTGGTACAACACACATGTACAACACAGAGACTTCAAGCAATTTCAACAATGAACACATACAATAATCTCATAATATATACAGCACAAGGCAGCCTGGAAAACATGTATTTTCTTGTTTCAGCCATGTGAAGAGCTATTACATGTACATGTACACATACAGCGTAACGGCAATACTACATATTCAAATAGTACTAGCATGAGTGCCACTGCCTTAGCTTGTATAGCAGCAGTGGTCAGGCTATGGGTTCTTCATTGCATCCAGAATTATTTTTGCACAGTTGCAGTTTCTACAATATGATTAACCATTTGATACAGACAGCTCTCAGATTGTTCCCAAGGGAATTTTCCTGAGTTTTGTAATTTTATTTTCTATACAAGGAAAAACTGGATAATATGTTCCTTCTACAACAACACTAGCAAAAGTCAGTTGTATGAGATTTACAGGTGGGGAGGGGGGTGGGCTACACAGAATTTGATTTTATCTCTCAACATGCAGACAATTTTTGCATTAGTTTTGCAGCATTTACAGATTTATACATTGTGCTCCCTAGTATAGTGTTTTAAATTACAGTCATTCAAATTCTGTATACAGAAAAAAAACTTGACTACATTAGATGATTACAATAAGTATTTTACAGTAGCTGACAACAATAAGTCTGATATAGTTATCAGCCAAATGACAGTTAAATGTTATAATGAGGCATAATATAATGTATTGCACGACATGTAACTGATATTTGACACTTTTGATTTTAAACACAAAAAAAAGAAAAAAATCTCGTTTTTCTACTTCTGCTGTTGAAAAATAAAGCAGCAGTCTACACAATGTACAACAATGCTCCTGGTAGGAACTGATTTACACATAATAACAAGTGTTTTCTTCTCTAAATTACTATGACAAGAAGTTCATTTTCAATGTAACCCCTTTTCTTACATCAACATGCAACTCCCTGATTGGCTCTTAGATAATTGATTTAAAATGTAAGGACCAATCAGAGGTTAGGGCATAGCTTGAACAAATGACATGTATCTCACAATCAGTATTTTCAAGTATAATGTTATATATACACACACATCAGAACAATTCTCTGACCTGTTCATTTACAAGGTCTTTCCACATACTGTGTCCTTCTTTGCAAAAAAATCCTCTTTCTAAACTGCCCAGATTTCTCTAAATTCAAAGTCACTCTCTTAAGTACTTTCTCAAACAGTAAAAAACACCCAAAATTCAACATAGAGCTCATATGAGTACATTGTACTTCTGTTTTACAGCATGTTGGAGACAAACTTTTTCACGAGCTACAGAACTAAATGCTCATTGGTGAAGTAACATGGCCAATGGGCCAATAGCAACATGTGTAAAAGAAAACTCAGATAAAAACCTTCTCAAATGTTCAGCAATACATCGCCATCTTCTACTTATGGCCACATAATTTGTTAAGGTGGTTCACATGCATGTAACAAAGCTAACATCAGTCCAGAATTAAAGTTTGTTGAGCAATTGGATCAAATATCCCCTTGGTTCAATGCTTCCATTTCTTCCCTCCAAATTCCGTTGCTCATTTAAAACCTGAAGTTTAAACCTCTTTCAGAACTCTTTCCATGACTTTTCTTTAAACAAATACAAAACCACCCACAGCCATCCTTTCAGCAGTTCTTCACAAGTTAGAAATTTACATTCAAATGGATGACAACTGGACGATAAAATCTTCACTTTCTCAACTCAAAGGTTCATCATAGCTCAAGACGGGTTGCATTTCCACACAAATTTTGGAAACTAGAAAAAAACTCCACAATTTCCTCACTTGGAAAGTGTCTTTCAGTACCCACTGTCTCCAAGAAGCACACATGAACACACAAAGAGTTGGAGATGACAGCCACTCTTAAAGGCATCCAATGCAGTTTTTGGGGCTTGGAAACCAATTTTTCAAAGCCAATATTCTAGTCATTTATCTACATACTGAGTTGAAACTACACTGTCCTAACGTATATTGACCCTCATGGAGCAAAAATTCTCAAAATTCTGATGGAAAATGGTTACTGGAAGGGCCCTGGGCTGATTTCTTAGGGTACCACCCAGAAAATAAAAGACTCATCTTGGGGCTTGTTTCTGCAGTTTTCAATGCCCAAAGTATGAAATACTGACTTAAATGTGCTAATGTGAAGCAGTATGTGTCAATGTCGCAAAGATTGCCCCAGTTTTGCTGCCCTGAAATCACATTGGATGCCTTTAATGCGCTGCTCACTGGATGACACATTTCTTCATCTCGTTTTCTAGTTCGTCGTCGATGGGGTCAGTGTTGACAGGCTGCTTGCCCTGAATGTCGGGCAGGAATTTCTTGTAATCCATACCCTGTCGCTCGTAGAACAGCATGTACGCCGAGTCGGTGTCAATCTGGTCTGGGTGAACCTCCTGAGGATAGAAAAAATATTCAGTTTTACAGTGGAAAACAAAAATTTTCAAATCTTCAATACACTTTTTTCAATACAATTTTTGGCGAAAACAGAGGCAGTTGATTAAATTTGCTGACTTTCCGAGGCCTTTTTCATATGACAGCACTCTAGGGCTCAAAATTCACTTTTGGGAATAGTGTAATCAAATTAAGCTGTACGTGACCACCTACCTTGCAGCTGCTGTCATTGTAGCAGTACCATTTCCCATTGGGGTTCTTGGCATAAGATACATAATGTCCACCTCCCAGGATCCCTGTGTGACACTGTAACAACAGATCCAACAAGAAATGACCAACAGGTCTACAGTATCTTTTCAGCAGAGCACTATTTTTACCTTCAACTTCAAAAAAATTAAGAAAAATTATAATGCAAATCATGTATGTTGTACACACACATGCCAGTACTGACCGATATAGCAAAGAGGTCATATCTGATGTGTGCAGTGTCCAGGGCGCCCTCGAGCCACCTCTGTAGGTCCCTCTCCCTCTCACTGCGCTCCGTGTCCAGACTGTCCACTGAGCTGTCGTCTGACTCCCTGTCCACATGGACCAGCGGGTGGTTATCTGTGGCGTCTACGGTCCGACACCTAAAGAATGGGATGAAACAGTGTTCTAAAATGTTTACCTCCGTGAAAAATGGAGATATTGTTTTTGGTATGTCTGTGTGTTTGTGTGTCTGTGTTTCCACATGGCCCTTAGGTCAGGTTGTAATGGATATGGTTGGCTTCAGTCTGTCCCAGAGGAAGAAAGTCAAAAATTGCTTTCACAGGAACCGGTGTTTTTCGTTACATGACCTCCTTGACAGTTGACAGCTGGTATTTCCCTTGCACAGTAAAGATTAAAGAGGTGGAATGTTTCCAAGTCATGCACTTCAGAATGTACAATGTAGCCATGGATTTTTCTTGCAAAAATTAAAGAAACTGCAGGGTGAAAACAAAGTTTCCACCACTCCATACCTGGTTGGGGAGATGTTCTTTGTGCCTGTGCTGTTCCCGTCCCCGTCCCCAATCCCGTTGACAAGCTCCACTTCACTGATGCTGTGCCCGTTGTGAGAGCTGCTGTCACTGTCCTTGGTGCTGGAACAGGTGCTGCTGTGCTGCTGGCTGTTGTTGTGGACAGCGGCGGTGGGCGGGTCATGGGAGGAGTTCAGGGAGGTCTGGGAGACGCTGGGGGTGGAGTCGATGGTACTGCTGCTCCCCGAGGAACGGACCGCGAACCCAGGGTAGCAGGGGACGCCTTCTGGTGCAACCTCCTGTAGGGAACAGACAAATTCCATTCATTCCAACAACTTCATTGGGTTGGTAAGTCAAGGGCTCAAACTACTACCTGCATGTATACAGACTTGCACAGGCAAAGTTGGTATTGTGAAGGTATTCCTGATGTCCATTATGCACAGATCTCTGTACTGGGTTTATAGGCATTTGTGGATTTTTATTTGCTGTAATGACTTTTACCACCTATGCAGTATAAAAGAGTAATGGCATTGGTTTTTGAGCAGTTTTTAGACTGATCCGGCCATACTTCCTAAATTTTGACTAGTGCAGGTAAAATTTGTCTGGTGCAGGTTATTTTCAATGTTACCTGCAGGTTACTTTCAATGTTACCGAATAAACAGTGTTTCGAATCCTGTATGTATTAGGCCACACCAAGTAAATTTTATGGATGACGTCCGCGCGCGGATTGATTTTGGCATGTTCCTAGAAAAAAAAAAAGAAATTCCGCTTCCTGTAACTATGACCAAAGAGTCACGACAATTCCGCAAGTCGTCAGATTGACGTGAAACCCGTAGAAGAAAGTGTCTATTACCATCCTGTTTTCACTGTCCAGGGTTCCACCTGATTTATTGCTGTTTTGATGATGAATAAAAGACTTCTTGCTTGTTACACTGTGTCACCTCAATCAATTCGTGTCCTAACATTTGTCGTCTCATAGTATATTTCTAATCTAGGCATCTTGTTTTTTAGGGCCCTTCTTGTTTTTTTTTCACCCTCTCGCATTAGATTTAGGGTCTCCAAAGGACGTCATCCATAAAATTTACTTGGTGTGGCCTTATACAAGTAAATTTTTTTTCCACAACCATGATAATACAGTATGGCCCTGTAATGATATACTTGCCTTGTTACTGTTGTTACTGCGTGTGCTAGCCGTGCTACTCTTGCGACTGGGTGTGGGACTGTTCCGTGGGCTGGGCATGGGGCTTACCGAGTTCTTCTTCCGTCTCAGTCTGGGAGACACTGCTGCAGTCAACAACATCAAGTACAGGGTTATATCACATAGACAAGGAGTATAAGAAAGGGTATGAGAAGATTTTTTTCTTTTTGATTAATACATGTATCCATGTTGGTGGGCATTTAGTGTAGCCAGGGTCTGTCTTGCCATCATTTGATTGAACTTTGCTGATTGTGATGGACAAAAAATTTGCCTATCCATCATCTTTGATGAGCAGAAATTTTTGTGTAATCATATGGAAAGAGATGTCATTAAGCTAAGCTTGGTCTACCAGCCAAAAATTTGCCCCACCAAATGCAGAAAATATCATTTTAGTGGGTCAAGATTTTGACATTTTCTTAGTAGGAAAAACAAAATTGGAATGACAGAAAAAAATTTCAGGCTGGTTAGAACACTTTACACAGTAGAAAGAAGCAAAGGTGTAATGCTATATGTATAAGATAAAAAAACTTTATATTATCATGTACTGTAATATCATACAAAAACTCATCAAATATTTGTTTTCAAATTGGCAGTTGGTACACCTTACTATTGTTTCAACCATGTACTAAAAGAATACTATTAACTCCAGATTTCATTGTGCTAAGAAAATAAATTCTGCAACTTCAAATGAATTAACAGTACTCTTCATGCTTTCCTACCTTTCTTGAGGTAGTTGAGTCCGTTGTGGATGGGAGAACCCTTGCCACTCTTGGTGGGAGACCCCTCGCTGTGCAGCGAGCTGAGCGACCCTGCCTTGTGCAGACTGCTGGTCGACACCGACGTCTCCTGCGACGTCGTCCGTACGCGGTGAGTCTCCAGCTCTTTCCTGTACAGCTCGCGGATCTTCTGGGGGTCGCGGGGAACCAGGAATGGGGAGGGGTCGAAGTTTTTCATGGGGAACTTGACAATTTTGTGGGACTTACACCAACGGCCATTCAGAAACTGGAATCTCTTCATGTGGACAATCTGTGGTACAAAGGTAAAAATAACTTCAGCAAACAAACTTGGTAGAATAGACTATGATGCATAATTTTGTAGACTTCTACTGTAATGATTAGCTTTAACCTTCTACCCTCTGCCTCCCTTGTAACCAATAGAAAATTGGTAGCCAAAGGTTTTCTTTTTTTAGTTTTTTTTTTTTTGATTTAGGCTAAAACAATTGAACAAATAAATCAGGACTATCTCAAGGACCCTTCCACCTGTTTACTTGTGGGCAAGTATGTCACCAAATTTAAAAAATTGCTTCAGAAATTGCATTAAGTGACGTTTCAAAGGGTTTGAAATTCAGATATCCAAAAATAGCATTCCCTTCAACAATTTTATAGCCTTTCCAGCAGTCGATAAAAAAAAAGGCTAGGGTCAGCATGTTTTGCTAGGGTCGGTCAGTCGAGAAACCAGAAACATTTTTTCCTAGGCCTTCTGCCCCAAAGGCAGTTTACAGGTTATACGAAACAAAAGTTTTCCCCCCAGCCTTACCAGTATGGGAGGTAATCTCCATATGTCTAGTTTCTTGGCTGCCAGCTGGTGCTCCTGACACTTGCTGCAGTACCAGCGCTCCTCCTCTCCCAGCTCCTCTTCCTTAGTGAAGGCCTTCAGACACGTGTCCAGGTCGATCGGCTCAGACTGCGCCCGACGGCTCGCCGCAACGCTATCGTGTTCCTCAAACACCTGCCCAACAACAGAGGTACAGAACGCATTAACGAGGGATGGCTTTTAACGTACAGGGCTCGAAATACTGGGTGCCAAGGTTGGAGCTGTACACCCAAATTTTTTGTGGGTGCATTGGGGCACCCAAATATTTTCGTAGGTTTATGTATATAAAGATAATCAAATGTATAGCATACAGTATATCCTTGACATCTAAGTATCAGAAAACTAATGAAATATTTGTTGTTTAAGATTATTCTATTCAAGATTGTGAATCACAGTGTTACATGTTACTTCATGAATTGAAACCAATGTACAATTAAAAATATTCATTAAAAGGGAAAATTACGGTGCTTAAGTAATAGTCTGAGAATATAAACATTGGCACTGGTAGGACAGGCAAAAGTTAGCATTTTTTGACCCCCTATCAACATTATGGTTCAGTCCAAATCTGGCATCACTGTGACAAAAATGGCCGTACCACTGACCAGTAGGGATGTTTAGTAGACTTAATTGAGCAGCCGACAGACGAAAGCATTGAAAGCAAGTTACTGTCCAAGAGAAGTGTTCAAGTACCATGTACAAGTAAATGTCTTTAACAATTCATCTGATTCAGAAGTGAACCTACCTTCTCCTGTGACTCCTGATACCTGAGGTGCAGTGCTGTAGGGTCCCAGTCAATGGCTACATAACTACTGCCCATGGCAAACTCCTCCTCCGTACAGTCTATCACACACCCGCGACAGAACCTACACACGACATAAGGCACATCATGGTGTTATAGTTTAATCTTGGCTCAGTTATCTCAATCTAGCAGAAGTTGTGATGCTTAGTCCAGTCTTTTTTCACCCTCCCTCTGGAAAAAGAGTTTGGGAGTTCAAATCCCTGCTGTTCAATACATGTATGTTCTTCTTTGATAACAACAGAAACATTAAATAAACTTGATAATCAAGGCTAAGTTTTTCTTATTTAGGGAAAATTCTCAGACAAAACATGAGCAAACCTAAGATTCTTTTTAATCCCCTAAATCAGTTGGATCATGCAACACAAACTGCAGGCATCTACAGGGAGTGTAGCTAATAATGGGGCCCCAAGGGGTATATGGTATAATCCCTGGTCAAGTGTGATAACCAGCGAATAAACCACCAAGTGAGCGTAGCGAGAACTCAATGATTACACAGCTCTAGCCTGCTTGTTACTTCATGACTTGGATACGAGTGTTTTCAGTGTGCTTACCTGTACCAGGGACACCAGGCACATGTGATGCCGTCTCTCTGTACAGCCTTCAGCACAAATGGGTACTCATACCCCAGACTATCATCACTGCAGCAAAACACACAAAAAACATGCCTGCATCAATATCAGAACAGTTAACATGTTTAGGTCTAGGAAAATTATTGTTGTGTTTCCAGTATCAGTCCTGGAAAAACTAGGGCTGGTAGGTATAGATTTTCTTTTTTTGTAAATTTGTTTTCTTTTTAGATTTGTGCTTCATACATCTCTTTACATAAAGGTATTACCTATGTAGATGTACATGTAACAACATATACCAGTTACTGTGAAAGACTATAAAAGCACTGTGACAGTATTTTGGACAGTTCACATAATTCTATAGTGCAAAAACATGTAATCTAACACACCAGAGATTTTTTCCTCCATCTATAGTGTACAATGTAAGTATAGGTGTAGGAAAGGGACTCATGGTAAATTTTAAAAGCCTCAGGGAATACAGATAAACATGATGACAATTGATGTGAGTGCAGAGCCTACATGTGCCATATGCATGGGTACTCTATAATTATCTTTTTTCAGCTACAAAAATGTATGTACTCAAATGTGATTTTGAATGACATAAGACAAAAAAACATGAAGTACAGCTACAAAAAAATAATTTAGTTAGAGGTGAAACAAGACATTTTCCTGCTAACTATTACACAATGTACCTTAAACCAGTTTATTCAGTTTGTTTCAATCTCCTATCTACTAACCAAAAATTCCTGTTTAACCCCTTCCTAAACCTTAAGAATAAGAACAGACCGACAAGACATTGCACGTCACAGTGCTCACCAAAGTGAAATTAAGTGCAAGCTTAAGGCAAAAAAATCAACAAGTTGTGTTACCGGTTATAGGACTGGTGCTTAGCGCACCCTGCTTGAGTAATTCTTTTACATCGTGACCTTTGAAAAAAGTACAAAGATACAATAAACTGCTTGGAACGACTCTGTCAGAATGTTAGAATGTTGCAGCACTGTTAGAGTCAGGATCCACCAATAAAAGAATGGCTTATTTTTCTGTAAAAGTAAGAGGTAGTAAGATGTGCCGTAGTGCCAATGAGTTAATGTTGATTTAGTGCCCCTGTATAACCTGGATGAGAAATTAAACCTCTGCAAATTTTTGGGTGCACCATTTGAAATAAAACCTAATTACAGACCTTACTGCTCCTCTTCTGAGCTTGAATCTAAAATGGGAGCTAAGTTCAAAATCTTTACAAAGTCTACATAACAACAAAGATTTTATCATTTTTCTGATACTTAGATGCCAAAAAATATCCTGTATACATTTAATATATTATGTACAAAAATGCTTCACCTAAAAAAATATTTGGGTGCAAAAAAACTGGGTGCACAGGTCCAATTTTGGGTGCACTAAGGTGCACAATTACACCCAGTATTCCCAGCCCTGGAGTGGAACCTACCAGTCCTGGGCGTGGTTGCTCCGCCCCCCCTCGGAGGGCGGCAGGGGGCTGACCAATCGTGAGACCTGTGTCCAGATGGCTTGGTACAGGTCCTGCTGGAGGGACGACACCCCGCAGGGCAGGATCAGGGGTGTGCCGAACAGAGACGGCCGGCTCTTCTGGGACGACAGGAAGTACACGTCCATACGGATCTGTAAACAGAACCATACAAGAACCATTATTACCTCTGACAAGAGGGTTATGTGTTAGGCACACCATAAACATGTATAGGGGCAGGGACCTCCCTAAACAATGGAGCAGTGGAGCTCCTCCACCCAGTCCTCATCTCAGCTCCACCCTGTTAATTTTCAAAACTAGTGTTTTTACACCCTTTTCCAGGGTTCTTTGGTCAAATTTACCGATATTTCGCACCCTCCTCCATTCTGTCCTAAATTTCTGGGGAGATCCCTGAGGGGGTTTGCAATTTTTCGAATGATTACAACTCAGGATGTGGTGCAATAATTCTTTCCTCAGCGCAAAACTTTGACAGCGTTCTGTCTCGGCAGTCCTGCTGCTAATGCTGAGTGACAGTTGACATAGAAAAAAAAAAGAATCTTCACGATATTTGGTAGGTAGTTTAGGGGTGGGACAATATTAATACCCTTAAAAAAACAGGACAGCCTTATTCCCTCATATATTATTGCTATCATGTACATTGCATGAATTCCCCTCAGTGTTCTAGCCAGCACTCGTCTTTTTGCCACTAATGACATCATCTTTAATGGACAAAAATAGCTATGTAATGAAACAGTTACTATTACTGTAAAGATATGGAAAGAGATGTCACTAAACCTAGCTTAGTCTACCAGCAAAGTTTTCCCGTCAAGATGGAGGAAAGAGCATTTCAAAGGGTCAAGATTTCATCAGGATTGTTGCTGAACATGGTGTTATGTCAAACAAACTTGTGGTGACAGAGAAAAATTCAAGTTGGCTAGGACATTGATTTCCATACAATAGCAATTGAACGTTTTTACAAAACTTGCTTTAAATCTCTACCACTGATGCATTGACTTGGTTCACCCACCATTTTCCTGTGTAATGCAACAACAAAGCCGTTGAATCCGGACTGCCCGTTGACAGAGTTAGTGGTACTGGTACTGGCGTTGCTTGGCTGGCGACTATGTCTCCCGCTGCCCGGTTGGTTCAGCGTGTACCCGGCGTCACCGTTTACTGCGGGGAGGTGCGTGGTGCGTCGGAGGGTGCCCTGTCTAGGGGGAAGCTGCTGGCTTCCATTGGTGCTCCTGTATGTATGATATGATAATGTAGGTTGTAGAAATACAATATGGTCTTCAATTCCACATCACATTAAGAATAGTATTTTTCCTCAAGACATGTTGTTTGTTCTTCCCAAGTATGTTCTGTTTGTACTAGTAAATAAATGTAATTATTTACAAAGCAAAGAAGTGTCTCTGTTTAGAGTGTCTTATGGCCCACATAAAAGCAAAGAAGAGTCCCTTATGGCCCACATAGTTCTTTAAATTTATATATCACAACTACACACAAGTTCCTGTACATTTACTTGTATCAAAGCCAAAAATATTGGGTGCATATGCACCTTAGTGGAGGTAAAATTGGGGCTGTGCAGATATTTCTGATGTCTACCTGCACCTAACCTGCACTGGTCCATGTACTGGGTTTATATGTGTAATTTTATTTGCTGCATTGAGAAATAGTGGCAATGGCTTCTTTACACTAATTACAGTTTTTAGCATGATCCATTCCTCCTCAATTCTGAGTGGTGCAGGTAAAATTTGTCTGGTGCAGGTAATTTTCAATGTTACTTGCACCAGTGCAGGTATGCAAAAAAAAAAAAAAGGTTTTCCATCCCTGTGTATGTAACAGCAAATGCCTAACCTGTTGAGACTAGCAGCAGGTCCTTTCTGAGTGTTGTTACTTGAAGCCAGAGAAGTATCATCGTTCACGGGGGGTATATTTACAGGGGGGAGCGGCTGCACTGCAACACCTGCACCTAGAAGGCCACGAGAAATAAAAACATCAGACATCACATTTTTGCCTCACAGATATCAGTATGCTACGGGATAGGTTGATTCAACTTACTACATTAAAAGAATGACCAGAAAGTTGACTTTGAAAATCCAGTTTTGCCACCCTGAATATGCATTGAATGCCTTAAACATAACATACGTAATAACATTTTCTTTTTCTTAACATCAGAAATTTTCTTCACCTGTCATGACAGTTCCATTGCACTGAGGTTTGCTGGTTTCACTCATCTCTACCGCCTTTCCTTCGTTCTCTTCTTCCGTGCTGCTGTCCTGTGCTGGAGGGATCTCATAGGCGAACAGGTTTCCTCCAAGTACTGATCTCACTCGCTGGCCGTCTGATGGGAAACTCTGAAATGAAAGGGTTGGCATGTTTTATTTAACAAAAAATGTTGGGGAAATTTTACATAAGTATGCCATAGCTTGCTATTTGAGGCCACAATACACTTGTATGTATCTGTACCTGGTATAAAAGCCATTTGGAGTTACATAGCAGCACATATCTTTCCTTATCATAACTGTTTTGATACGGCCAAGAACAGGCACAGTGTATGGTACTGATATTATATGATTCAGCACCAAAGACAGACACAGTGTGTGGTACTGATAGTACAGTCTATGGTACTGATTATGATTCAGTACAAAGGACAGACACATCATATGGTACTAATAGTACAATGTGTGTGGTACTGATGCATGATTCAGTACCAAGGACAGACACAACGTATGGTACTTATAATACAGTGCGTGGTACTGATACATGATTCAGCACCAAGGGCACAGTATGTGATACTAATAGTACAGTATAATAGTACAATACTAGTACATGATTCAGCACCAAGGACAGAAACAGTGTGTGGTACTGATACATGATTCAGTACCAAGGACAGAAACAGTGTGTGGTACTGATACATGATTCAGTACCAAGGACAGACACAGTGTGTGGTACTGATACATGATTCAGCACCAAGGACAGACACAGTGTGTGGTACTGATACATGATTCAGTACCAAGAACAGACAGTGTGTGGTACTTATAGTACAGTATGTGGTACTGATACATAATTCAGCACCAAGGACAGGCGCATCGTATGGTACCGATACATGCTTTTGCACCTCTAAGCTTTCTTAGATTTTTTATGAAACACTCACCTTGATTGTGGCTCCGAAGGTCTCCAGTAACAGCAGCTGACTCACATCGATGTCACACAGCTCCCCCAACTGTCTCTTCAACACAAGGTTCTTCTCATCAGCATTAAGTCGGAGACCGTACCGATTAGGAACACTGCCATCCAGTTTCATCACTAGTGGAGAGTGGAGAAAAATTGTCACAAACTAGGATCTGATGCCTAAAACCTTTATACAAAATATTATATGATGATAAACTGTACCTCTACTGCTAGCAAAATGTCAGGTAGCATTTCTTATAAAGGAAAGTGATCTCGATCCAGTTTTAGCTCACTAAAGAGCTAATCTCCCACTGGTCGTGACAGAGAAGACAGACGCTATTTACAGGTTCATTGTATCAAGGAGATTGCTCCAAAAATAGCTCTTCCCAGCAAGTTCGATGAACAGTGGAACACAGCTTAACATCTTGTCCTAACGACCATGACCCTTTCTAATAGCATGCATGTGGGGTGAGTGACAACAGCCGGGATTCAAGCTCCCAACGTCTTGGTCCTGAGGCAAGGTCGATACACATGCATTATACATCACCAGGATTTTGGTAAAATGTTGAATTTTATTCCAACACAAGGTTTACACAGGGATCAAATTTTCAATGAACACTGTCGCCTTGTGTTTGAATAAAATTCAACATTTTACTATGATTACTACCAACACTTTCATGATAATCACCTGGATTTGTTTGTTTTCAAAACTGGAAGTTGACTGACCTGTGACCTCCACGTACATGGCGTTGTCCATGGGTAGGGGGAGGGACATGAAGTTGAAGGGGTCGAAGCGAACGTTGACGTGCGTACAGTGCAGACAGCTGACCTGTGACTTCAGCTGCCCGTGGAACAAGTCCACCACAATGGAGCGGTTCCGCATCAAATGGTTGTCCCAGGCCTGAGCAAGGGGGATAGATTAAGTCAGATTTCTAAGAAAAACTATCCATAGAACCAAAACATAAACCCAAATCACTTAAATCTCAAGGGATGTAAAAATCTTAACTTATGTTTCTATGGAATGAAAAATGTTAAAGGAAAAGAATGGGTAATATAAGCACTTGCCTCTTTGGCAACCTCCTCATCTGGTCTCCCGTCACTGTCCTTCAGTTCAACATATGGCTTTTCATGTACTCTGTAATACAAAATAACATCATTCACAATCTACAGTCCATTCACATAGTCTTTCAATAGTTCATGTGCACTGTTTTTTTTTTTATGAGGCTAAAATCTTTGATATGGGAATTCAAACAAATGTATACAGTGTATTTTATTTCCTAAATCATTACTCCAAGATTCTAATACGTTCATTTCAATTTACTGATGATCGAGACTGTTCTCAATCTCAAAGGTATGAAATCAAATCTTCATTGTCATGCCATTCTAGGAGGTTGTGCTCTTCAACACATGCATGTACATGCATCCCCATAAACATATGAAACTTTGAAACTTTATTAGAATAACCATTAGCGGTGGACCCTAGCTAGGGGCTAGCTAGCTAGGGTCCACCGCTAGTCTTCCTGGTATTCATTCATACAGACAATACATATAACATACATAGTTGTCAAAGTCACAAAACACATCTAAATCAATAACATATTTTACAATGTACATAATTTAAAAAAACATATATCCCAATGACTCAGTCATGTTCCCCTAGGTATAATAATTTTTTGCCTGATGATCCTACCTGTTGAGGTCCTCATGTAGTCCATCCAGTAGGAAGGCTAGGAGCTCCTGCGAGTCATGCTGTTGGAAGCCGTTAAATCTCGGGGCATACTTTGCTATTGTCCACTGCAAAACAAAAGTACCTGTGTCAAAAACTTAGGATGACATGTAGCCTTTGGTGTGCTACCTTTGACAATCAAAGCAAATGTGATGGTATATGTATACTGATCTGAAAGCTATTTAAATGATTGTTTTACAAGTTTTCCTTGTCTTTCTTACCCTCATCTTGAGAGGAGCGATTGTCTTGGAGGTGCCGCTCCAGAGATCCTGCACCAAGTCCCCATATCTCCGCGCAATGTGGCCCTTCATGCCGAGGGGGTTTATTCTAGGACATCAAGAAAACAAACTATTAATGCAATACATAATGTACCATGGTACACATGGGCTATATAAAACATGGGATTAGGATAACTGAGTAAAGAGACTCTTTTTACCCAACCAAGTATTTTATTCAGCCGACGTTTTGGTCAGGGCAATTTTAACTGGTTCACATTGCATTGCAGCACAGGTGTCGCTGCTATAGATGAATTCCCAAATGTACAATATTTAGTACATATCTACACACAAGCAAACTTCCATCAGTGAAGTCACATTTTTGCATCACAGATATCACTATGCTGTGGGATAGGAGTGATTCAATCTACCATTGATATTAAAAGAATGACAAAAAAATTTGACTTAGAAAACCCAGTTTTGCTGCCCTGAAATTGCTTCGGATGCCTGTACCCAATCATGGAGCTAAAAGGTTCAACACCAAAAATACTATTAAACTCTGTACAAAAGAACTTACGTGTTGAGTTCATACAGATGCCTGCCTGAGATGAAGTACTCTGTCAGAGCGTGGGTGTTACTGATGCACTGCAGCCCAGAGTTCATGAAGCAGGTGTTCCCCAGGTTACTCAGGCCTGTGGCACCTTTCTCTGCAGCAGCTACACATGGGACACAGTCACGGAGCATTAGACGCTTGCAAAATGGTTCTGTTACTATGTTGTTACTTAGTTATTCACTTGGAACAAATGGACATGTTTGCAAAACTTAATCTTCACGATTGATCTGATAACAGTAATGATAATTTCATGGTACAGAAGTTACCATGGTCATGAATTAATGTGAACATAACAGAACCATGAAAGTAAGAAGGAATAACAGTATCTATCCAAATCACATAATGCTGGTCACTGTAGCACTGGAAACTTGCCACGAACCCCATTTATTTGAATCCGTGCTCAACTTTTCGTATCAATTGGTATCTTAAAAAAATATCTTTTAGTTTATTACTGACTTGTTTCAGATAAGCCAACAACAGACATTGTAAATTAATCAGCTATTCCAAGCCACAGTTATATAATAAAGTGACCAGTGTTATGATCTATGTGAAAACATCTTAATTGGTTGGTACATGTACAATCATGTACCTGTACATGCATATCGCATCAAAACAATGAAAATGACATATGCTACTGTAACAACATCAATGGCTCTAACTGCATCTGGACATCAAGAAATGTTCCAAGCCATTCCATTGGCTGACTTTTCCCTTTAAGCTGGTAGCTCTGAGTTAAAGCGGCACTTAAAGATTTGTCAGCCAAAATAAAGGAACTGGAACTCAAGAAAATACATTGTGCATATAGTGCAAAGTGTACAACTGAGCTTATATGAACAACACAGCCAATGGCAATCACATCAGTCTATATCAAATGCATCCCAACAGCCCCAAAATAGTTTAATTTGCTAAAGATAAAACTACTGTGCAGATGTAGAAGTTTATGATATGTTGGAAGAAGGACGGAAAGACAACATATAACACACACAAACACACACACACCACAACACAGTCACAGAATCACATCTAGCCTTTGAAAACCAACTAGTACACAAGTTTGAGAGACCTGTGGCCTACAAAATGTTCCTTTAGTTCAAATATGAGGAATATAGGTGGTCTATTGGAATGGTTGCAGGTTAGATTGTGTTTTTAATGGTAAATGAGGGTAACTACAATTAATAAATTAAGATGGTGCATTTAGCAAGCAGAAAGCAAAATATGACTTAATTTCAACCTATTGTAACCATCACAAAATTGAGTTTCAAAGTTAAAAAGTGGTGTGGGAATAAATTGACTTTGATAACAACACTGCAATGCAAAGAAATGTTAAGAAAAAAGCTGCTAAGGCCTAGAAAAATTAAAAGCTGTGTTTCTGATGTCAGTCCTGTAAAATCTAGGATCGATAGAAAGAAAATCTAAAAAGAAAATCCATACCTGGTATGGATTTTCTTCTTTTTAAATTTTCTTTAGATTCCAGCTAAATGATCCAACAAATAGAATTTAACAATTGATGCATCAAGACTATATCAAGGACACCTGTATGTTTGTGGACAAATATAATTTTCACTAATTTACTAAAGGAAAATTTTTTTTCTGAAAAAGCGTTAAATGACATTTCAGACTTCATCAGAGGGTTTGGAATGATCCATATGATCAAAACTTTTGTGGCCATACCAGCAGTCGATCAAAAAAAGGCTACGGTTTTGCTATGGTAGGTTAGAAAACCTAATCTCTAAGCATATACCTCGGTTCTAAGGCAGTATCCATTGGCCAGAGGAGTTTGCACGGCCATGTGGTGGCTAATGGACACTCCTCTGGCCAATGGATACTGCCTTGCCACCATATGATCTGCTTGGAGATTGGGGAAACCGGAAACACAGCATTTCTGTGAATCAGCAAAATATAGCTTGTATGATATAACGCCATGGTGTGGTGGGGAGGGGGGCAGCAGGGAGTTCCACACACAGGTACACAGTTAGCATGGGAACACACCTGAGTTTCGGTAGAGGATCTTAGCCAGATTAGACAGACCAGCTGATTCCATGGCTGCGTGCAGAGGTGGGAGGATAGAGAACAGCAGTCAGGGGGGGGGTGGGGGGTGTAAGTGTGGAGGTACATGTGCCCAGAATCTGGGTCAAACACTCCCTCTTTGAAGGTCAAATCTCTTTCAAGGTCAAATCTAATTCTATTTCAATTTCAATTCTGCTTTTTTTTCAACAATCTTATAAAATGCATTCTTTTGCAGAGACAATTTCTGTACAAAATGACATGACTTGCAAAACATGATTTGCAAATTAAAGTTATTCATCAGACTGAAGCAATCAAATACAAATGATTTTGCTTCTAACAAATCATATCAGCATGCTTTGCATGGAGTCAAGAAATGTTTAGAAGACAAAAGAAATATATGTTTAGATGTGGTAAATCTTTATGCTGAGTTTTTGGAAGAGTGATAGAAAAAAACATGACACCTTTCAGTTCACAATTTTATAAGGTTTGTGTTGATGCTGGAAGTTGCAGAAAAGGGACAGAATTCTTAGAGAAACACTAGAACAGAGAGGGTCAGAGAGTTGTGCTGTGTACAAAGCAGAGAGTAAGAAATCATAGAAGTATGTGACAACAGTTAATATGTGGACTTAGTAGTTACAGGGATACATGTAAATAAATTGGACAGCTGTGTTTAATCTTGTCAATAAAATTATGTAGTATACATGATTGTTCATATCATCAGCAAAAACTGTGCAGTTGAAAGTCAGGGAAGCAAACTGAATCACTGCCCTGTCTTTGAGGGAGTTAAAATGGAAAGAGCAGACAATTAAAGACAGTTATATGTTGCTGTAATGTTTTGTCATGTCTTGTCAGCAGGGCAAGCCCTTTGTAATAGCCACAGGCTAGTTAACGTTGGGCTGCCCTGGCTGTGAGGGTTGAACAGCCAAACCAATAAATAAAAATATGGAAAATCTTCTGACCTTGCTTCTTCTCCATTCGACTCTTCTGGTTGGCTAAAGAAGACATCTCTTCTGGCCAGCTCATGTCTTTGTTACGGACTGGAGAAACAGAAAGTGTCGTGTTTATTTTGTTTTTCATCGTGATGTCTGCAGAATCTTATGCAGAACCTTGTTGATTTAGGTTATTTTTAAAGGCACCCAATCCAATTTCAGGGCGGCAATACTGGATTTTCAAAGTTGATTTTCTGTTCATTCTATATTTACAGTAGTAAACTGAATCAATCTTATCCTATAGCATATTGATATCTGTAGGCCTTAGGCAAAAACATGATGTCACTGACCAAAAACAGTTACTTGTTTTGTATCATAGGCTGGTTCTAGCTATTTATGGGTGGTACCCCCAAAATAAAGAGACTCCACACACAGATTGTTTTTAATGAGCTACTGCAAATGCTTGATACCTGAATGTGCTAAGAAATGGCAGTAAATGTTAATATCAGATTTCCTCATCCAGAATAGTTTTTTTTTGTTTTGCTGCCCTGAAATTACTTTCAATAAATATTAGGATGCCTTTGAAATAAGGGCTGTCAACTACATGTAGTTATTGTTCCTTACCTGCAAAGACCTACATTGTATAAAGTCATCAGTAGATATTAATGCCAAATGTACACAATGAAGTATAGCATCGTATAATAACATCCAAAGGTTGGTTACCTTCTATAAGGATCTGCTGATTGTCTTCAACCCCCAACATCTCTAAGGTGTGGTCCTCTTCTTCAAGGAGATAGGCATTGCTCTGCAACAAAGGCAATAGTGAACTTGAGGAGTTCAGCTCAGTAGCTCTCAAGCTCTCACAGTGGATTTTTTTTACAGTTTATTTTTTGCTTCCAAAGGCAATTCAAACTCTACTATTGGATAAATTATGTTTCAAGTGATACCAGTGACACTCAGGAGTGTTAGTCTTGTTCAACTGGATTTTTCCAGTTTTTTCCAGTTCTTTCAAGTGTTGACTGGTTCTCTCAGCTCATTTTAGTGACGCTGAAGAAGAGTCGTCAAAACATCCGTAAGTTATCTCTGTTATTTATCCAGTAGTATAGTTTGAATTGTCTTTGAATATTGTTTACCTGGATGTCTAATATTCATTTCAACGTTTTTTTTTTTCGTTTGAATGTTTGTTTTTCCTTGAACCTTATCTGCTGCCAGGAAATTTTTTACACATAACTAGAATGATCTGCACGCTTCACTTGAATGCCACTGCAGGTCAAATGGCAGACTAACTAAAAAGATATTGAATTTCTCACCTCATCCTTAAAGTTCCAGAGTCTCATGTCATCCTCCCGGATTCGCAGGCGGTTGCACAGGTACTGGTACATCAGCTTCAGGGTGGTCATTCTGCTGAAGGCTGCTACATACGCTAGATAACGGCGGGGGGTGGTGTTCATTGGGCCTGTGATACCTGAGTATAGAAGTGACAATTAAGGGTTAATGACCCACCCAGAGGTGTATATGGTGTCATAAGGCCTGGTCAAGTGAGAACAGCAAAGATGACGGGCAAACTTAAAATGTCATTCAGAGTCTGTCATCTAAGTAAACCCAAATCATGTTCATGGTTTTCTTCGCTTTGCAGTGCAAATTTTTCGAGCTATGGAAGGCTTTAGGTAGTTCAGAATGAAAAGGGAAATGTGACATAATTTTTGGGGGGCCAGAACTGCTTCCCAAAGTTCTTTTTTTTGGGGACTTGAACCTAAACAGTTTTACAAGTCTGGAACCGGTCTAGCAAACTGGTACACAGAACTATTCAAAAGTACGTACCTCCAGGGCCGAAGTGAAACCCCCCCAGCTGGACCCCCGGTGCCCCTGCCCTGGTCTGGGGGGCCTGGTGTCGGAGCAGCCGTATGCTGAGGGGGTACAGCTCCAGTTCTGCCGAGGGGTCCCCATGGCTGGGAATTATCACCTGGAACATGCAAGGAGACCAATTTAAGATACAATGGGTTTCAATGGCGATGTTTGGCTGAGAAGAAAAGATTCTAAAGGCTTGTACCCACATGTCTCAACACTGAAATACTTCAGAATCTGTTGTACAGTACTTCTTTTATTTCAGAATTTGTAATGTTGTTTATTAAATGTCTACCATGTATCTTACGTATGGTGCTCTGTGGCTACCTTGTGTTATTGTGTGACGGTAATGTGTGAATTAGTACAATGTACTAATTGTAACTTGTTATGATGGCAATACATACATATACAAAATGCCTATAGATATACCTACTTTATTACTCACATGTTAATCGCCCCATGTTAATGACCAAAGGGAGAATAGCTACCAAAAATGTTGAGCTAATTTGGCTGGTGCAAACATTCAAAAACTTAAAGACTATTATGTTACATAATTCCAATTTGTAATACTTCAAACATTTTGCAGTTTGATACCTTACAAAGTGAGGTGGTTTTCCAATTGAAGTAAGAAATGCAAATAAACAAAAGTTAACAAACAAACTGATGAGACAAAGACATACCGTTCTGGGCAGTGCAGGGGAACCGCCGTACCAGTTCTGCAGGGCCCGCCACACCGGCTCCGGGAGAAGTTCATAGTCACGCCCCCTGATCAGGATTCTGTCACGCTTCAAACGGCCGCCCTCATTGGTCAACATCATAACCTGTGTCAACCAACCACAAGACAGGATTGTTGCATATCACCAGTGGAAAAAATGCAAAGCACCTATTAACACTTAGAAAGACAGATGTACTAGAAAAGCAGATATTTGCTCCGGAGCAAATACAGCATATTTCACTCCATCTCTAAAATGGACTGTTCTATATCTGATTCAACCTTTTCCATGTAGTGCTCTCCAGTATCAAGTGTTTCAATACCCCAATACCCATGAAAACAATGTATATTTTATACATATCTATGAGATGGAGTGAAATATAACAAATCAAGCAAAGGTTAAGATACTGAATGCTTCTAGGGTAAGTTTCTTTATATATTTTCGCACCTTTCTAGTTTCTGGTATGATGAGTGGAGTGTTATCGATGGCTCCAGGGTTCTGGGGAGGTAAGGGGTTGGGTGCGGGGTGTTTTCTCGGTAGTGTTCCTCTTCCTTCACTGGACATGGTGCTCGCTCGACTCCCTGAGCTAACTGAACTGGTCCTTCTGGAGTCCGCATCTCCAACGTGGTTTGCAACATGGTTCAGGGTTCCGTTCCCACGCAAGCTCTCGACCGCGGACGAGCTTTCGCTGTAGAAGCCGCTGGTTCGCGAGGCCTCGTCTTGGGAGAACTCTTCGCTGATTTCGTCCCAGGCGTGGGCCAGACCATTCAAGTGGTGGGGAGGGAGGCTGCCTGAGGAACTGTTTGAGGAAGTGTCCCACCCATTGTTGTAGGACCTTCCCTGAAATAGGATGAAATGTCTGCACATCAAGCAATGCAAATTAAAACACTTCAAAAGTCACAACATCAATGAATTGTGGTGAGATTAATGCTGTTGAAGACTGAAACTTGAAAAAAGCAAAACGTAAAGATAACTAGAAACTTTAAGGTAACGTTTGAGAAAGAAAATTCATACTGTTTATAAAGTTGTTTTTGCTCAGTTTCTTCATCTTTTTCCTCTTCTTCTTCTCCTAACAAATAAAGTCAATGACCTGGACCAGACGTCTGTCACCATGGTAATTGGTGCTGTAGCAGATACCCGTGGTGTTGGAGTACATTATGTAGCAGGACAGAGTTGGAGGGTCTTATTCATTACATTATGGTGACCAGCACCTCCAACTCTGTCCTGCTACATGATGCAATCCAACACCACAGAGTGTCTGCTACAGCACCAGTTACCATGGTGACAGATGTCTGGTCCAGGTAATTGACTTTATTTGTTAGAAGAAGAAGAGGAAGAAGAAAATGAGCAAAAATAACATGTTTTCATTCTGTGAATTCAAGGTAAATACATTATTACTCCAAGTTTGTATAAGAAGGAGGCAAAGTTGAAATCACCTGGTAGTGTGTGAATTCACACCAGTTTTTCCACCAAGCCATGGATACTAGGTACCAGGTGTCCTTATCCCTCAGACCTTTTCTCTCTTCCCGGTCCAACCAACCCCTGCAAGCAGGAAAAAAATACTGTTTCAAGAATTGGTCTTAAGTTTATAAATAAAGAAACGCATTACAAAAGTCATGCTACATGTACTGTAGGTTCCAAGCCCTAAAATGTACTTTCATTAGATGATATACTTTCTAAACATCTCAAAACGTATGGTTTTGTTGAAATACAAACCTGACAATTTCTCCCTCTTCTTCAGACCAGGCTGGTCTCAATCCCAACACTATGTGGCATACCTACATGTATTAACAAAATGTCAAATGTCAAAGCATCATTCTGATATCAGAACAGGAATATTGACACTGATGCACTGTATAATATACAAACAAAATTGACACAATTCTGTGTGTAAAGTCAAATCCAAATTGCATTAAAAGACATGCTGATGGCAGATTAACCTAGAACCGTAGTGTTAGATCATCACTTACCTGAAACAAGAGCTTGAGTAGATCATTGGGCAGCCTATGTCCCATGGACCAGATCTGATACTCCTCCAGAGTGATACAGCCATCCTAGTGGACAGAACACAGTGTCATTATTTTACATTGACTACTACTCCTTACTACTAGGGATGTTTCAGAGTAAGACTGTAGCTTTCTTAAAATAGAAATCTCAAACAATATTAACCGTTTTATCCAATAAACTATGAGACACAATCGCATTAACTTTTTTCAGGAATGCTGATGAAGGTTAGACATCCAGGTAATGAGATACACAAGGAAATTATTACTAAAGCAATTAACTGGATAGATTTTGAAAACATCAGAATGTTTCGAGTAGCTTACATTCACTGACAAAAAGTAGTGGATGCTAGGTGAAACATCTGACAGTTTTCAAAACTATCCAGTTGCTTGGGTAACAAATTCCTTGTGTTTATTCAGGAATTTAAAATATTCATCTGTGCATTTTTTCTATGTCTGGCAGAAAAATTGTCTAGTTTTGCCTAATTTGTTTACAATTGTACGTATTCTTACCTGGTCTGTGTCATGTGTCTTGAGGATGTCTTTCACTATGTCTTCAGCCTTCCAGTGGGTCTTATTCATGTCTGGATCCTGTGTACACACACAGATACATCTGGGTTGGTCTTCAACAGGGTAACATTGTTCAGTATACATGTACATCAGGGCTTTAGCCAGCACCCGTTTTACTGTCAAACGACCGTATTTTGTCGCGTCGTACAGTAAAAATTTAAGTCCTTACCGTCAACCTTGACAGCAAAAATCATGGTTAGAGACAGAGAAAAAATTTCAATAAGCCACAGTGCAGTGTTTTTTTCAAGCGCACAGCGTCTTTTCCAAATGCGTGGGCCCACACATTTCTTTACTTGAATACAGTGGAAAACCTGATTTCAAGGAACGTGCCAACATCAATTTTCGCCAAACGAATTGGGTTGACCTGGGGTTGACGGTAAACCCCTGGTGTACACACTAGTAAAAGCATGTACAGCTGGCTCAATTTCTAATCTCCAAGGCCAAGTGGATGTAAGGAAGTAGATTTTTTAGCCTCCACTTTGTTGCTGTCCCTTTGTTGTTGTAAATAGCCTCACAATTCAGCCCTCCTCAGCTGCCAGGAGGCATGTATATCTTTTGCTAAGATCAAATAAACCAGTCTACTACTGTAACAGTAACTACAGTACTACTACTAACTATATGCTTAACATATTCAGATAAACATAAAGATAGTGCATCACTTGTGATGTACTATCAAACATTTGGAATAGCCTGAGTAACCACATACATGTACCTATACATTGCAATATCACAAGAAAGTGAAGCAAATTGTGTTAAGTGAGCCACAACAACACAAAGCTCTGGTCCATATTGTACACCTTTCTTTCCTATCTCATTGAATTTGAAAGGTGTCTAGAATATGCGTATACAGTCAATTATAATTCAAAACAAAACAGAAGAAATCTCTGATTCAAATATGGGACTGAAAACCTGAGTCAGAATGTTTGAATGCAGCATGGGGAAAAGGATATTAGAAAGAGATAAACAAACATTTCATTAACATTGAACAGTCTGTGTATAACCTGGTCACCAGTCTCTTCCAGGGCTTCAGGCTGGGCTCAAAATACACACTCTTCCATCTTGCTCAATAAGTCTTATTTTTCTGTGCAAGGCAAATTGGAGATACCAGATTGCCTTGTGTGCAAGTTTTTTTTGCATGCAAAGCGACCTTTTGAGCACTACTAAGCAAAATGAGCAATGCTGGTGGCCTAGCTTACAGCTTGCCTTCTAAAATTCACAGTTAGTGTTGACAGCGAACTGAAATATTGATCGATAACCAAGATTTTGACTTAGGTTGCCCAGTAGGTAGCTATATAGCCCCAGAAAAAAGTATTTCAAAAGCTGCCTAAGCAATAATAATAATGTAAGCTTCAGGATCTTTTCTGACCTGACTAACATATAGCCTCCATAGCATGCCAAAAACTGGGTTTTTTTGGGGGTGTTTAGGGTCTTTGGGAGCTTTTATGACTGCTATTTTCTGATTGCATATAGACAACGTTATAGCCGGCCTGGTTTAATTACCCCGGCCCGTTTTTTGAACTGGGCTAATCAGAAAACAGCTGAAGACCACCAAACCCCCAGTTCTATAAGCCTGCTACGGAGGCTAGCCAAAATATACGAAGGCCATTATGTATATTTTTTTAGCCTGCCTCATTCCAAATAAAATCCCTAGTTGCTAAAGGACCTGGTGCCAAAGAGCTGGCCTGTGTGGGCCCTGGTAGCAGCCTGGGTTCCAGGTTAGACTATGCAGCAAATTCAGTGTTAAAAACACGGTGGCTGCCGGACAAGTGAGGGAGGATACTAACCGCCACATGCACTTCATTTTCCCACTGAAATCTCTACAAGAAGAAAGAAAGAGAAAGAGAGGAAAGTACTGAGAACCATTGTCCAGAACTCCTCATACAGAAAATGCAAAAAGGACAAAAATGCAGAAAAAAACAAGGCAGGCAAAGAAAAGCAAACAAGACGACCACAAGTGTGCAAGCAGACATACTGCATGTGTGACTAAAAACATTTCAATAACATCATTTTATACCATATGACACTTACAATTTGCAGAACCAAAATACAGTGACACAAAACAGTGCAATAACAGTACAATGCAAAGAATAAGAAAAGGGAAAAGTTCAACAGAAAGCTCACAAGTCACCCACATCGTGTTGCATAACACATTTTGAAGTGTACAGCTTCACTAGATCATACAGTACTTACATTTGTAGTCCATAATGTGAGGTGGATGAAATCTTTTGGATTCTTACCACTGGTTTTGGTATACTGCCTACTAATACTAGTCTACTAACTTGAAGATGCTGTCTAGCCACAAATACTGTATAAAAATGTCTCCTTTTGAATTCTTCTGTGAAATTTTAACCTTACCTGAATCAACCTGTAGTCTCAGTGTCACAAATACATGTAGTAACTGAGCAAGTTGTTTTCTATACTGTCCTGTTAAATCTACTGACAAAAGCTTAATATCTCATGCTGTGGAAGAACTATAACGTAAGATGTTACTGTTACTGATAAGGTGGGAAGGTTTACCGTATGGATGTCAAACACATTTTCCTCGTGGATGATGATGAGCATTGTAGCCATGGCAACAAGCTCCGCCCTGTCCAGTAGCCCATCATGGTCGGTGTCGAAGATTTTGAAGCAGACTGTAGTGGATAATATAGAGGGAACATCAATCATTACAGTTGATTGCAATGTTTTCTGCACCTGTTTTGAATGTTTCTTTATTGGACAAGAATGGTACAACTTAAAGGTACATGTACAAAGTACATGTAAAGCATGTACTGGTACATGCTATATTAAGTACAGTTCTATATATATATGTGTGTGTATAAGGCTAATCTACGAGTATGAGATGAAAATGGACTTCAAAATCATAACATTTCTAACAAGATATTCTAGACATTCGAATAATGACATTGCACAAACATAATGTATCTACACTGTCATGTGTCTTTGGCTATTTCATTACATTAATCTATATGCTATACCATGCTAAAGACTTATATATTTCAACATGTCACTAAATGTGTAAGTTCAAATTCATCTTTTCTCTTCCTTTGTGAACAAAAACCTTCAGAAATTTGGTTATTGTCAAGAAAGCAGTAGTTTACTCACATTTCTGTCTCTCAGCTAGTGGTCCCCTGCAACAGGCAGACAGTCCACAACAGATCTCCTTAAAGTCAATGTGATTGTCTCTGTTCTCATCAAAGGCATTGAATAAACCTGCAGGATGGAAATAACATAATGATTGTAATGAACCAGTTGTGTAAATACAGTCAAACTTGTCTAAGATGACCACCATGTACATGTAAACCAAGTAAAAGTGGTCTTCTTAGACAAGTGGTCTTCTTTGACAGTATGGCAACAAGACAGAGAACGAGAAAACCATAGAAATGATGACAAAAATGTAAAATTTTTGCCGCCCTGGAATCCATTTTCATCATTCATAATTGCATTGTACAGAAGAAGAATTGTGGAGTCACCTTCACACAGTTCCTTGGGTACAGGAGGCACCATGAGGAGGGTAAACGTCTCCAGATCAAACCTCCCTGTCTTAGACTGGCTCTTCAGCTGCCAGTAACGTTTCTCCAGCTCAATTATATCTGTCTCTTCCACTGGAAAACAGGTCATTACATGTAAGACATTTCATCCATAACTATATAAAACTATTGTATAACTGTTTGTATGACAAGTGTAACAAACACTTTTCTCCAATGACAAAACAAAATTGACATGTCCTGGTAGTATTGTTTCCCACATACTCAAATAAGGCCACGCCAATTCAATTTGTGGTTCATGGATTAGCCTGGTTCATTTTGCTGCAAAAAAAAAAAATTTTAGCTTCTGAATCATTTCCATAATGCTCATACTTTGGCCCCAACAGTTTAAGGAAGTTTCTTCTCTTCAAAGTTGCTACAATTTTTCCATCTACCAAATTGAATGCAGTGGTTTGATTAAAAGTTTGAAATTTATTTTTTGAATTATAAACCAGCCTGGTCAGCCTGGTTTGTTGACTTCATGACTCCTATTGTAGCATTTGCGGCTATCATAGGATGCCTAGGTCTGTTTTTATTTTTTATTTTTTTCCATGTCGCTTCATATTTTCTCTAAAAAATTCCAAGAACCAACAAGTCAAATTGGTGTGGCCTAAAGACATATAAAAAAAAGGAAAAGACGTACAATGTGTGACCCCCGCTAGCGTCTGGTAGAACGTTGGAGTTTCGCTGTCGTCCGTGAGCGTCACGCAGACTCCGCCACTGTTCAGCAGCCATCGCGTCACCGACGTGGCGTCCGGATTCGCCAACAACCAGCAGCGAAACTCGTCATACATCAAACGTTCATTCTATTAAAAAATTATAAAAAAGACATCCAGTTCATACGAACAACATTCAACAACCAGGAATCCACAATTTCATCAAGACAATTGAAAAGTTTTATGGTTGGGAAAGTCATTTTTGTCTGGACATCATTCTTTGACCAGGCAATATGGCCAAGTAAGTAGAGTGTTCGCCAAGTGCATTTGGTCGGTTGTGAATATGGCAGGTTAGTCATAGTATTACCAATTGAAAGACCTTAAAAACAGTCAGTGTACATACTGCTTTCTATACTTAGCACTCAGCATTTGGGAAAGAGTATGGGAGTTAAACACACACCGCTACCAGTGGACTAACCCCCTGCTGTAGTGATTGTGTGGCCCAAGAGCTACTGAACTTGAGATGGGCACTGCCCTATACCACCAGGGAGAACTTTAACTTTTTAACTTTAACATCATTCTTAGAAACATATCACATATGATATCCCACATACCTGTAATAGTCAATTATTGAAATCATATTCAAAACTTAAAGTAGCCGTTATCATTCAATTTTTGAAACATTAAAAACCTGTAACTAAGATTTCCCACCTGTGCAAAACTGTCCTTGATGACTTGTGGCACATGTCCACTGTCACATGCCAGCACCATAGTCTCCATGTCACTACGCTGCACATGGCTCAGGGCATCATTCGCATACAGGGCAAAGATGACTGCAGAAAGACACACATCAGAAATTTAACATTTTTAAAGAGAGAAGAAGTCTTCAAGACCTAGATTAGATAGAATGTTCTTCCTAGTAGTAGTTTCCAAGACTCTTACGTTCAACTTATTCTTTTATCCTTATATCCTATGTACTCAGTATGATATACAATGTCATGTACATGTAACATGCATTTAGCCCCATGAGCATGAACATGCAATAAAGATCCATTCTTTGGACAAAACATCAAATTGTATACAATTTCCTTCTAAGCTATATAACCAAGTTAATTTCTTGATTGTCGGATTCCCCCGATACATCTTCTTCAATTCTATTTTGAAAATTAAAAGTCTCTTGTACCATTCTGAGCACACACAATGTATAAAGACGAAAAAGTCCAGATTTCAATACCAACAGTTCATAGAGTCATTGTATTGCTTATTAATAAGCTATTCATTGAAATATCATTAACCATAATATGCAAAATTTTTGCTCCATGGATTGATATGCATTGCTGCACGGGACTGAAAGTCTGTTTTATTTTTCTATCTTGCCCTCCCTCTCATTGAGAAACAAGACATTACATTGATGTTGCCTAATACTAGGTCTTTTCAACATCGTGAGCCTAATCTTCAGGTAATGGCTGTCCTTTTTGTGTAAACATTTTTAAGGCTCAAAAAAGGTATAAGAGGATTAAACTATATTTTTCTGAAGAAAAGGAAGCCAACGAAGAAGATTTTGGATTGAATAACCCCAAAAAAAAGCTGCTGAAATATGATAAAAATGCAAACGTGGTGTAAATGGGCCCAACTGTTTGCTCCTTAATTTGCTGTTTTGTCCGGCCGGTGCCTTTATTGGTCAGACATGGGTGCCCTTCATCTAATAACACAACACACGCCGTAACTCATCATTTTCTCCTGGAATTAAGGGGGGAAATTCTGCCCTTGGGACTTGACCTTCGATCCAATATTTACTGCTGCTTCCTACCAGTATTGATCCAGTTTGGGAATGAAGTACAGTAATAGTGTACCGGTAGTGTAAAGCAACAAACACACAAAGCTTAAATTCATAGCTAAGAATCTTAGTATCATATATTATTTAGTATATGATAATATTATTAGTAAGTTTATTTGCACATTCATACATTACATACAGCATACATACAAAGTGAAACAATAGGATATTCTATTCAAAACAAGTGACTATTCTATTCAGAATGCAATCTTAACTTTTGAGGTTCTTTTGGGGGGAAAAAGAAGCTTTGTTTTTGTTTTTTTTGGGTGTTTTTTCACTCTTTATATAGCGATATTCTGAATTTTCCTGAAATCAAGCTGTTGTTATTAAGTTCCCATAAATAAGTGTACAGAAGGTTTCCATTCATTAACATCTTTGACATGGCATCAAGCTAGAATTAGAACGCAGTCATGTTAAAAAGATAAGCCATATTTGGATATTTGAAGTACATGATTGTATACATGTTGTATGACATTGTGACTCACTCATTTGCATGCTGCATCCACTGGTGGTACATAATTGTTCTGACATAACCATATTGTATCTTCTATTATTCAATTATGGGAGTGTCAACCATAGACAATATGGCTTTCCAGAAATAGATGCTTGATATAGTCCTTGATGTACATATTAATATGAATGAAATTTAAATTTCACTTAAGTCAAGAATCTGTAAATTGATGAATAGTATCAGACATTATCCATATTCCATTTCATTATACATGTACATGTACTGCGTAGTGAAGAAAAACAGAGTCACAAGTCTCAAATAATCTTTATGATGAGATTTTTTGCAAGCAATCATTTTGTAATACATGTATGAATACAAAAGATGGATTATTAATAAAATTCAACAACAGCTGCATGGTAAGATATTCTGTTGATGTACACTTTAGCTTCACTATTCTCAAGGGGACTTGCCTAAGTAGGGCTTGAAATACATTTTAGCATACTTAACTGGTACAGGTAAAACAGAAAATTACCTGCACCAGACAAATTTTACCTGTACCACACAGAATTTAGGAAGTATAATATAATTATGTGTATCACTAAGAAAAGGAACTAACTCCATTGTTTTATTTTTAGGTGATACCAGTCAATATTTTTGTACACTGTCAAAAAATTAGTACATACAATGTAATGTAAACCCAGTACTTGGACCAGTGCGCGCGGGTTATATATATAGGACCTGGTGAACGTAGTCTAAGACATCAAAAATACCTGCACAGCCCCAATTTTATCTGCACATAAGGTGCATATACACCCAGTATTTTGAGCCCTGCTAAGCCATAAGATCACTATTAGCTGATCCAGGTAAACTAGACGATATTACAATCTAGGTCAAAATCTATCACATGTTGGGGGTAAAATCTGAGTCAATCAGGAAATGTTCCTTTACAGCAACTATAAAATATCACCTGCCAATAGTGGTTCACAATGTCATATGTTTGTGGTCAAATGACACACATATCAAATTTGAAGATGTAGCTTACCGCACAAACTCAGAAAAATCTCCTATGTAGACAGCAGTAACGTTAACTTTGGCTCAATTTTGGCCATCCGACAACTAATTATTATTACATGACTAATCTCAAGGTTTATAGTCCATTAACATTCTTTACGACCACTCTGATGAGGTGATACAAAAATATGCCATTTTCTCACATCTACAGTACGATTCTACCATGACTTTATGACTACAACTACTACAAGTAAGGGTAAAATATCAATCTTGTGTTAACGATATTATGCTCCCAGACATCAAAGGATAATTACGGAGCCCTTTCCTACTGAAATATTGACATCTGGTCAGGATGACATTCCTGAATTATACATTTGAGGTAAATGAGGCGTGTACACCACATCTCCACCCATTTCCAAGACTCCTTCTTGTATTGATTTTCTCAAGACCATTCTTGGGATTAAGGCCCTGATGTATAGAAATGCACTGTGTGCTTCAGCACTGCTCATTTTGCCTTTGTTACGTGTGCAGGGGTCAAACTATGTTTTTTTTCTGCATACCTGCACCAGTGCAGTTAACACTGAAAATTACCTACACCAGACAAAATTTACCTGCACTACTCACATCATGATCAGACTTTGAGAAGTATGGATCATACTAAAACTGTTCAGAAACCATTGCCAATATTTGTTAGAAGAAGTCAAACCCAGTAAAACTAGTAACATGTATGTATGTTGTAGAATGTAGTATAATGCTAGACGTAGATATATAGTCTCACATACCACAGACTGTATTTTCTTTCTTATGTTGTTTGTAACTGCAATTAGCCCTTGGGCATGTATTTGCAATAAACTTTCTATATTTTTTTTTAGTTTTATACTTCATTATTCCATATACACCTACATTTGTTACCCAGTACATGGACAGGTGTAGGTTAGGTGTACGGGTAGACATCAGAAATACCTGCACAGTTCCAATTTTACCTGCACTAAGGTGCATATGCAGATGAAAGATCACAAATTACTTACATTTTATTTTCTCTTCTCTCTTGCCCCTTGTCAGCAGGACCAGACCACAGACCAGATCAGGGAACTTCAGACCCTTGGTGTTCCCACCAAATATGTCATAGATACGCTGTGGGGAGGAAAATATGGTAAAACCATGTGAGAACTGTGCAGTATTATCAAAATGTACTACGTGTTAAAACAGAAAGGCAAAACATACAACTTTTATATATAAATTTCATCTTATATTATAATGCTTCAAAATATTACAAAGAAGTTGAAATGGATAATTACAATTACATGTACAGTCATAGACATCTCATGAAAACTCCTTTACCAATCGGGTAAGAACTTTGACACATCAATCAATCAATCAATCAAACAATCATTCAATCAATCAACCCCCTTTATTTTGACTGGGATGCCCTGTCAGCCTACATCTAATATAAGACTACGAAGCTATGCACAGAGCTATAAAAAATGAATGATTTCAACTATGTCAGTAGAAATCTCTAGTCTTAGTCTTATATTTCATATAATATGTTACGTAATGTCCAAGAGACTGGTTTATCTAAATTACTCATGATAACTTTAAGCCTTTAAAAGTATGTTGCTGAAATGTTGCATCTAAATTACATCTAATCATAATTTTATGCTAATTAGTGGCTAGCTTAATCAATTAAGTTGCTTGTGGCATCATGATTGATTGACAGATACGTGACCTTTAGTGTAACCTTGCTTGGAATTTTGAAGAGGTCATTAATTGTAAAGCACATTATTAACTCTTATGGATTAGCAATTGTGGAATATACAAGAATATACAAGGTTTAAAGTTATATCAAATGTTTCAGAATAATTGTAGACCAGTATTAAAACAGGGATGTTATGAAAATTGAATCATGAAAAAATGTAGCTACATATTAAGAGAGACCTACATAAAGACCTACAGTAGTGACCTACTGTTGTGATATTAGTTGATGTCATAATAACCATTCTATATACTATATATATATATATAGTATATATATCAGCCAATGCAATTGCAACTTCTTCTTCTTCTTTCTGTTGCAAGCTTCCATGCTCATTAACTTGCAAGCAATGTTATGTGATTGAAGCTCCTTGGTTACGGCTCAAAACAATGCATTATAAATCTAATCATCAAATCTCATGCTGAGCAGGGCTTGATGTGACGGCACAGGTATTAATGACAAGTTATTGACCCAAATCTCCTTAAAGGTGCCCGATGCAGTTTTTATGGCTTCAAAAACAGATTTTTCAAAGTCAACTCAATATTCTAGTCACTTATCAAGCTATCTAAATCCAAGTTGAAACATCGCTACTAGTATGCCAAAGTATCCATGAAGCAAAAAATGATGAAAATTGTGACAGCAAATGGTTACTAGAAGGATTCTGGACTGATTTTTGGGATACCACCGAGAAAATAAAGGACTCATCTTGGTGCTTGTTTTAAATGCCTTAAGTATCATGATACTGATGCAAAAGGGCTAATGCGAGGCAGTATTCATCGGTGTAATACAGAATGACTTATTCGGAATATGGGCCAATTTTGCCATCCTAATACCTTTAACCACTACCGCTGTGTTTTTGAAATGATGCGCAATCACGGAGCAGTAAACTAGTATACTAGTGGACATGCATATGGCGGTTCCTTCTAACTCGTCACTGATTGCAATTTCTGTCTGATCCTTAACACTTTTCATAGATTAAACCAGCCAATCTAATCTGCAGTCATTACAAGTACTTCTCGACTATTATGTGGAATATGGCAGTCCATAAAATTTAGCCTTGGAGTTTTATCACCTGAAAATTTACAAGTTCCTGAGTTCTTACCCGCAACTTGTTTTGTCTAACCTTCAGGCCACACCAATTTGATTTGTTGGTTCTCTGTTTTTTGAAATATGAAAGGGCATAAAAAAACAAAAACAAGCCTCATCCAATGATAGCCCCAAATGGAGCAATGAAGTCAACATACACTCTTTGGCCTTAGCCACTTTTCAAGAGTTCAAGGAAGGATGGTCACTTCATTATTTTCTGATCTGCAAAATATTTTGAGCCCTGCAGGAAGTCTGCCGTTCAATTTGCATCCACACAGAGGTAATTACTCAGGCTTCCAGCCAGGGCAGATGACAAGAAAATCTAATCAGACAGTCATAAACGGTACCAGTTGCCATGGCAACTGCACGGAGTCCTACTGCGGATTGGCCTGTTTTTCCTCCAGATGTCTAATTTGGTTTTTAAACTGATTACCAACATAAAAATACTCCAAAGGATGTGGAAAATAATACTGACATGAGACAGATGGTTATGAATACCAGGGTATCAGTAAAAAGATGATGGAGAACATCATGCTGACAAGAATCCTCCTTTTTTCTTGGCCATTTCAAAAATGACTTTCCCCATCTGTATAGTCAGTACTTAGCCGCCCCTTGACGTAACACTAACAGCGGCGGTAGCTGGCTATATTACACCAAGCGACTGCACACATAGCCTTTGTACCTCTACAGTACCTCTAAACGTTGTTTACAGCTATATACTGATGATGCCCCTACTGTACTTGGTAGAGTTCTACACTATGATAGTTCTAGGAAAAGAATGCATGTGTGTTTGAACACCTCAAGTTAGTTGATAACTCTGGCACTTGAAGGCATGCCTAATTAAGTTCTTTTCTGAGCTCACCGGGTATTAGGTATCTAGTACTAGTAGTTGATGCATCCAACAGTTTGATCATCATTTCATCAGACTTCAAATCTTTATTTTATTATCACACATAATGTGCATAAAAACAAACCCTTTCTTTCAATGCATGTACATGAAATTAGGCATAACAGTCAGTGTTAATTCCAACAGCAGTCAAAAAGTCTGTCATCAGTTTCACACCATGGCCCATCATGATCACATTTGATCAAAATGTTCAACAAGGTTGTGTTCTTCTTATCATCCTTTTTTCATGGACGTCAAATTTGTGTTTTCGTATTTTCTGAAATTATTATAATAACTAAATAAGAGATTAAGTCTAAAATCAAATGGCCATCGTAAAATGTGTGAGCTACACATAGTAGTAGTGAACATAGTAGTTTCAGTTCAGTCGAATAAATCTACATATTACTATTGGTAATAATTACAGTTGATCAGTCAGACGGTTTGCAATCTACTGCCCTTCAAACTAATCAGTACCCTATATGTCATGCCATGCCTCCCACAATACAAGGGGGTCAGCATGGGGGTTATGAATATGCTGTTCTATTGTAAAGATACAGATTATGCTTTACACTAAATTCAGGAAGGCTACCTAATATGTGTTATGCTACATTTAGGATGCCGACAAATCATGATCGATGTGATAATTCTGAGCAAGTTGCTTGCTTAGAGCAATACTGAACTGAATGTCTCAAAAAATGACAAATACTTCCTTGTCTTCCTACCGACTCTATTATGCGAAAGGTTGTACTGGAAACACAACATTAATTTAGCTTGGCCTTTGGGCCATAGTAACGCCACACCTTCATCATACATGTGCCTTTTACTGCTGAAAAGGGGAGGGGATGAAATTGTCTACAAATTGATACACCACTAGATGTGGTAAACAACTACAGAAGCCTGCTAAACGTGGTCTGTAGCAGCGTTACGTGGTGTTCAAAAGGCTATCACGAGACCGATTCACGTTCACGGGTCTTTAATGTCTAGTGCGGTTTCACGGTTAGAGCTTAGATCTCTAGTCTAGGCCATACCTCAGCGAGCTTCCCTGGCACAGAGTCTCCCAGTACTTCCCGCATAAACACCGGCTTGGTCATCAGGCCGTTCAGGTTGGACGACCTTTTAAAGGCCGCCTTCAGCCGCTCTAACTCATCGTTAGTTACTGTAGATACAAAACACGCAATCGTCAGCGTACAAATACAAAATGCCATCAAAATTATATCACTTCCCCTTCATCTGTAAAATTTGCGTCGCAGTGCACAAGATGTTTTTTTTTTTTTTTCGAACACCGTGACATGTATGGAACATCTTACCTCTTTTGATGGCCTCTTCGTACGAGATAAACGACGGCTTGGATTCTCTTCCTCCCATTGTGGATGTTTAGAAGCGAAGTTGGGCTAAAATGTCACTAAAACAGGTGGTACACCTGGCGATGTTGCCGACGACAACATTCTACCTCCCTCCACCTTCCTCCATATTGGATCACGTGTGCTGCGTGACGTCACCGATGGTCTCGTGCCCAGGCGCAGACTACGCTGCTCAACATCTCGTACCCAGCAAATCTCCAAGCAGATGTTGAGGTGAAAGATTTTTTAAAATATACTGATAGCCTAGGCTTCTCTGACGGTTTGAGGAGAGTAGGCTAGCTGTCAGAAAACGAGATAGGATGACTCTGCTCTGTCCCATAAGTAGGTGAGCAAATATTATGATTCTTTGACACATGTATTTCCAGGGTGGGTAGTGTACTGACTAAGCTATGGGAGAGAGTAAGTGAGTAGTGTACTACAGGTAGGGTCATAGTGGTAGTCAAATCCAATACAATTTATTGAATATGACAGGGAATATGACACACTTATTCAAACCAGCTAGACACACAAGGCTAAAAGCTGCAGCTGAGCTTATGTGCATGTGTGGTTTTAGCCTACCAAAACCTACTTTAGCTAACTGCCAAATCTCTTTTGCCCTTTCCACAAATAGAAGAGGATAAAGAGACTAGGCAGCTAAAATAGGTTTCTGGTAACCAGGCTGGTATGGTGTTAACCTTACTTCAAATAAAGTTAGAGGCAACTTTATTTCTTGTCTATATCAAAGTCTTTTACACTATAAGTATTGTAAATTGACTGGTGAGTGGTGGTGAAAATTTTATAGTAACCATCAATTTTGTAAAAAAAATCCCATAGATACATATACAGGACAGCAATAACAACAATGATGATGTATTTAAATCATTTATTAAACAACAAAAACAACCTTCTCTAAGTCAGGTTCATCGTACAGTACAGTCATTGTTTCAAACAGAAATGCAGGAGCAAAAATGACCACTGATATTCCGGTTCTCAGTTTTGACTATTATACATGATACCAAGAAGCTTCCAGAATGTCTTTGATGATACCCAGTTTCAAAATGCTCCAAGTTTTCTATATAATGTTATCTATACAAGTAACAATCCAGTAGAGGCAATAGCACAAAAAGCTGGGTAAGTCAGAGGGCAACAAAATACTAGTATGTCTGATACATGATCTGAGACTTAAGTGTATTCTTCAGATGTTGGAAATGCCTCTTCATAACACATAACTGTGCTTAAAAGTTTGCTTTTCTAAATTCTAGTACAGTGTATTTTCTACTGTTGTTATTGCTATTACTCTATACATCCATGTGTATCCTTCTTCATCCATTTTACATAATTTTTACTTCCCAATCCATGGCTTTTTCACTTGAATAAAACTCTTGACACTTTGAGGTCTATCTTTGTAACATGTCTGGACGACTGAGGTTGTAATTTTGTAGCCTGAAGCCCACTAGCAGCACGTCACAGTCTTCTGCTTGCTTCTTCACTGCAAACCTGAGGACAGAAACATATGAAAACATAAAGATCAAGATCCAAGCCATTACTAATTGCCCTTACACATCTAAATAAGATTTTTTTACAAAGCAGGGTCAGACTAAGATCCAGTGGGTGAACCAATCAAAAGATGTATAACCAATTGTTGCATTGAACAAAGCATGAGTCCATGAAGGTTAGACATCCAGGTAATGAGATACACAAGAAAATTGTTACTAAAGCAACTGGATAGGTTTTGAAAACTCTATGACAATAGGTTTCAAGAAGCATCCATTTCTTTTCGTCAATAACATAGGATTTCAAAATCCATCTACAGTAGATTTGCTTGGGTAACAATTTCTTGTGTATGAAAGATACAATTACATTGATCAGCTGTAATAAGGGAGCACGACTATCAGAACATAGCAGGGCTATCTTCACGTACCATTTGCCACCTTACACTGCCGGATTGCCTCATTAAAACCCTCACAGAGCGAGATATCACTCTGGGACTGTGCACACTGCAGGAACTGTTGGATCTCCCATCCGCAGGGCTGCTGTTGTTGTTGGTTAGGTTGTTGTTGTTGTTGTTGTGCTGGCTGTTCCTGGTAGGTGACGTCAGGCTGGGAGTGGGAGGAGCCACCACCGCTGAAGGCTCCAGTCACGGCATGGCCAATCACATGTCCCTGACAATTTGACAAACAGAAGGGATCTTAATGACTTTTTTGGGCAAAGAATGTTGGGCAAAGTTAGTCCATATTTTTTTTTTATCGCTTCATGAATTTATACACTTTACATCATCAATTTATACATGTGTAGTGTAAAAGAATCACCTTATGATATGAAGGAAATCATACTGGGTTGGTAGAAGTAGCCTCTACCAGGCTTCGGGAAGTGGCTGGAAAGGTTGAGTAGAAAATGGCCAAACAGATACCTTAAGGGGAGTTGGTCTGCGAGAGAGTACAGTTTGTGCTCAGGAACTCTTTATTTTTCCAGCGGCTTCCTGAAGCCTGCTAGAGACTATGCAATGGTAGAAGATGACCAGGTAAACTTACGACAGCAGAGCCCACAGCTACACCTCCGGCAGTGGCAGCCATCTGTCCCATCAGTCCTGGACCCTGGGACACAGGCTGCTGCATCATGGGCTGGGAGGGGGGAGGGTGGGCTGGCACACTGCTCCTGGAAAATATATATATTTCTTACATATATGTGTCACAAATCAAATATCCTGTATCTATTATGGAAGAAGTGCATAAGCAAGATGCATTTTTATCTATTATTTCAAAAGAAAAGTTACATACAAAAGCTCATCATCAACGCTCTCGGTCCAAGTTATCATAACAAAAAATATGACATTTTACATGTTGGTTGTGGCGGCTTTTAGTTACATAACCAGGGGTTTTTCTGAACAGGGGAACAAGGGCGCTGCCCCTCATGTAACAAACCAGCGCCCTCATATCAATTTTCAGATTGAAGCCTAAGTCTTTTTCAAAATCATCTTTTTCCAGTAAAAATACAAAAACAACACCACAGAACAATAAATTCTAGCATTACAAACTATGTTACTCTCATAAAAATTCCAAAATCTTATCACAAACTTGAAAATTTAGCTCTAGTAGTAAAAGTTTGGATGGAATAAACAATGTTCATTGAGAACTTGCTCAAAGACTTGTAGCTAGACCTCCTTCATTTGCATACTATAGAACAGGCTCTGAAGTGAAACATGAGACCTGAGTTTGTAGCAGCTTGGATGAATGTGTTGCAATTGTGCCATGGGAAAGGTTTCAGCTTGTAGCAAACCCAATGTTGTCATCTGGAGCTACTAGTTACATTGATCACTAATTGTGTAAGTGTATAAAGGGTGATTTGCAGATTGTGTGTACTGTTGATTGTACTTATATTTTATAAGGGAAATATGCAATGCATGAATAGAAATTTGGGAAAGGTATTGAGGTTATTAAGAGTTCAAATTTTCCCCCTCAAGTAGCCTCAAAATGTCCCATTTCAACTTCAAATTTTCAAAGGCTTCACATGGCCGAAGGGGGGGATACCCCCCTTCCGCACCAACCCCCCCTCGGTCGCTTCGCTCCCTCGCCATGATACTGCTCCCTCATGCCAAATTTCTCTA